CTACTAACAATTACCTTACTAGTTTTCAGGGAATCAGTCCATCATTCTCGCAACAATAAATCTTTATTCGTCATCCTTCTGTACTGTCGGGAAAAGCCTTAAAAATGACTTAGAGAGCGTTCTTACACATGCATTCGCAAGCAGACCGTTTTTTAACAATGTGATCTATACTGCTGGGACCAGCAACTCTAACAAACTGATTTAAATGACCTGATTAAACTATCCCACTGTGCTGAGAATCGCGCGCAACGTTGCTATTTATGAAAGGTGAAGCAGCATTGGACCTGCAGACGGCAAAACGATCATGTTTATTGCAGCAGTGAGCAATGAATCTGAGTTCCATTTCAGTGAGGATAGTATCACTTTTAATCTGGGGAATTCAGCTGTTCGAGCAATGCTTACTGTACGGCAATGGAGACCAAAATAGCAATAAGCTCGATAGATCTTCAGCTGGCTGTCGCACAAAAAGAGCCACGACAGTTCAAAAAAAGATGTGTAATCTATTCGAAAAAGACATTGATTTGCCAGTCGTATGACATTCTGTTTCAAAAGGGCAAAACAGAATATTACAGCTTTGTTTCTAGGTTTACCCTCCTAAATGGTTCGACTATTATTAAAAAGTCAACTCAGTCCAAGCGAAACTGTTTGTTCTAAAAATAAATGACATTTTCATTATTAAACACTGTTGCTAAAAGCCAATGCATCACTTATATCGTTATTTTTAATTTACGTATTTCATCTGGTGGCAACGCCGCTACCAGCTTCGGGCGCCGATAGTTCAATCATGTGTGGGACAGCTGCTTCACACAGTGTAACCGTCATTTCATCTTTCATGTTCGCTTCTCTCTTCGCGTCGTCGAGGCAGCTACCGCAGACAAAGCTTCCAATGTTTTCGATCCTGTGCCACAGCCTGAGCCTCGGCAGAAGAGAAGTCGCGTCTGGAACACACTCTTTATGTATATTTGCAGGTTAATCTTGACTGTTTCCTGGGCCTTCTGCCGGTCGGTTTCGCAACAAACAGGTGCTTAGCCTTCCTCTCTGGAGGCAAAATGTAACAAGTCATTGCAGCTGTGACTTCGCAGTTTGGAAAACCAGAGGCTCTATTCAACACGCTCTGCCGGATTTCAGTATGTCGATACGCGAAAGTCCAGCGACAGGTGTAAGAAAGTCGATTTTAGCGCTTGTACACGGGTTCCAAGCTTTTCAGTCATGGTCCCCGACTCATGACCGTATTTAAGCATGGGGACAATGATCGACTCGAAACCCGAGAGCTTAGTTTATAGACTGAGCTCCGCTTTAGTCAC